TCCTCATGAAGTGAGATGATCATTTTAAGGAACTTGGGGGGACAACCTAAACGTTCCAAAATCTGCCAAAGACCTTTTCTGCTCACAGTATCGAAAGCCTTGGTGAGGTCGACAAAGGTTACATAGAGACCTTTGTTCTGTTCCCTACACTTCTCTTGCAGTTGTCTGAGAACAAATATCATGTCTGTGGTGCTCCTGTTGGCTCTGAAGCCACACTGAGATTCAGGTAGAATTTCTTCTGCTATAGCGGGAATTAGTCTGTTCAGGAGTATTCTTGCCAAGATTTTGCCAGCAATGGAGAGCAGAGTAATACCACGGTAATTTGAGCAGTCTGATTTAGTACCTTTCTTCTTATACAAGGTGATGATGACTGCATCACGAAGGTCTGAAAGTAGTTCACCTAGTTCCCAGCAGCGCACCACAAGCTCATGAAATTTAGCATGGAGTGCAAGGCCCCCATGTTTCCAGACTTCAGGTGGAATTCCATCAACCCCAGCTGCCTTGCCAATTTTCACCTGCTGTATGGCCTTGAGGGTTTCTCCTAAAGTGGGGGCAGTATCCAATTCGTATTTCACCGGTCGTTGTGTGATGGACTGAATTGCTGAGTCTTGGACTACACGGTTGGTACTAAAAAGAGTCTGAAAGTGTTCAGACCATCTATTCAGTATGGAGGTTTTATCTGTCAGAAGCGTTTGACCATCTGCACTGAGTAGTGGGCTATGGATTTGGTATGTAGGCCCGTATGCTGTTTTGAGGGCCTCATAGAATCCTTTGTGGTCCCCTGTATCTGCACAAAGTTGAGCTTTTGCAGCTAGATCGGTCCACCACTTGTTCTGGATGTCACGGAGTTTCTGTTGGAGTTTGCTGCATGCAAGACGAAAGGCTACTTTTCTTGCGGGACAGGATGGCAGTGCAAGGTGTGCTTGGTGGGCGGTTCTCTTCTTCCTCAACAATTCCTGGATTTCATGATTGTTTTCATCAAACCAGTCTTTGTTCTTCTTGAGGGAGAACCCTAAGGATTCTTCAGAGGATTGCAGGATGCAGCTTTTAATATGATGCCAAATTGCTTCAGGAGAGGAATCTGCAGAATCTGTGGAATGGTTATCAAGCTTAGTTTGAAGGTTTGCCTGGAATCTTTCTCTTACTGTGGCTGATTGGAGATCGTTAACTTGGAGTCTTCTCCTTGGGATACTGCCCTTTTTGGGTTTGAATTTGAGATTGAAATTGAGTTTACAGCGCACAAGCCGATGGTCTGTTTGACATTCTGCGCTGGGCATCACGCGGGTATGGAGGACATCGCGGACGTCTCTCCGTCGCACCAAGACATAATCAATGAGGTGCCAATGCTTAGATCTGGGGTGCATCCAGGTTGTCTTTAGGCTATCTTTCTGCTGAAAGATAGTGTTGGTAATGGTAAACTGTTGCTCCGCGCAGAATTCTAGCAGAAGTCGACCATTATCGTTGCAGTTTCCAACGCCATGCTTGCCTAATATTCCTTTCCATGCTTCAAAATTTTTGCCTACTCTGGCGTTGAAATCACCAAGGATAACGATCTTATCATCTGCTGGTACCTTTTGGGTAAGGCAGCGCAGGTCAGAGTAAAATTTATCTTTTTCAGCAGGGTCAGCTTGGAGAGTTGGGGCATATATACTGAAGATGACAACGTGTTGGTTGTTATTTAGTGGAAGGCGTAGGGAGATAATGCGATCAGAGTGACCTGTTGGCAGATTTTCGAGTTTAGGGACAATAGAGTTTTTGATCATGAAGCCGACACCAGAGAGATGTTTTTCGGTTCTGGACTTACCTGACCAAAAGAGAGTGTAACCGGCACCGTGTTCTCTGAGGCTGCCTTCCTCATGAAGGCGAACTTCACTGAGAGCAGCTATGTCGATGTTGAGACGGGCCAGCTCACGGGCAATTAGGGCAGAGCGACGCACAGGACGTCCGCTGTCCGCAGAATCAAGCATGGTTCTGATGTTCCAGCATGCTAGAGTTAATTTAGGTACACCTTTGGAGGCAGGTGCATGCCTTTGTCTTTTGCTCTTTGTGCGACCGCATTGGAAGAAGATGCCCGTCGGTCTGCGGTTAACCAACCGGGTGAAGGTGGAGATGAGCTTTGTTTAGGCCACCTTTTCTAGGCCCCTCTCCGAGTGGAGCAAGCAGTGCTGTCCTTGAAAAGGCTGCTTGGTCGTTCAGGGTGCTGCCCCAAGAGACTCTCATCTCCGTCAGTCTCAAATGACCAATATCCTGAACCGCCTGCATGCAGGGTTGAGTCTGCGGCTCCCAGTGCACCTTTCACCTACCGTTTCGACCCTCGCCCGTCGCTGCAGGACTTTTTGCATGTGGGTAAAGCCTTCAAGCCTGCGCAATGGATTTTTTAGGTGAGATGCAGTATGCGCGGAACTGAACCCACCCTTTAATCCTGAGGTTCATCTGCCAGGGCCGAGCAAGCTTGGACGGTGGCAGTGAGGTCCTCAGGACGTAGGTTTGATTAGAGTGACCTTCTCTTAGATGGATGGCCTTCCAGGGCTAAGCGAGCTCCATCTGCCCGGGTTTGGTATGAGAGTTGTCCTTCTCCTAGGATGACTGCCAGAAGGCTAATGAGCTCATCCTGCCCAAGAATGAAGTGAATCTGGTCCTATGGTTTTGACCTGTCTGGCATGGGCGACCCTACCGAGGGCATGAACCCTCGCCAGCATAGCTCGCAACCACATAGGGGTACATAGGCTACTTACCTGTTAGAACGATTTGGGTAAGTCCTTCAATTCCTACTTTACTAACACCTACCTAAATACCATCATAAGGGGACAACCAGGAGCAGCCCTTAGTCCTGCCCACCCTTTCAGGATGTAGCAGAGCAGAGAAAATATATCCAGAACATGCCGAACCTGGGCAGTAGCCGCAGATGAGCCAAAAGTAAATAGGTAAATAGACAAACAAATAAATCAGCTGACCAACCGTTCAGGCCCCCATACCTGTCAAGGCTAGGGTGCCTTTCAAGACCCCAGCCTGGCTGGGGTCCCCAACAATCTAAAAGAACCCACTTTCCACCCTGACGATTATTCTTCTCCCACTGTGACACCACAAGTGGCAGGCGCGTTGCACATCTGCGATGTTTCACATGGGACAGCCCTGCACTCCCACCCGCAAGTCGGAGAACAACCATGATCCGCTCAAAGCACTTCCCCTCTGCTCCCTTTCCAATTCCCTGCCCCCTCCCCCCAGACCTGGATCGGCCAACCTCTGTGTGCTCTGAAGCTGCCTCCTCCTCTTCCATGGGGGTGCAGTACCTGCCGGAAAGGCTCCCCTCTCTCTCTCACCTTTCTCCTGCTGTAGCGGTACCTGGGTTACAAACCGCGCGTGCGGAGCGCGCGCGGTGCCGGACCCTCGCAAAGCGCACAAAAAA